TATTTTCATTTTACTTTCTTCAGCCTTTTTAGTAGTTCACTGTCTAGCATCTAATTTTTGATTGTATTGGAAGGAAACAAGGCTATGCCGGCAATATGAAACTAGATCACAGCAAATCAGCAGCTCGCTTTTCATCTTCTTTAAGGTTCATATAACACTTTATGCAAACCTCTTTCCTTGTCTTACTGTAATTCTTCCTTATCTTTAAATTAAAAACCTTGCCAATATTTTTCAGGTCCATGGAAAATGAAATTGGACACAATGAAAAAGAAGCTACCACCTCTGAATGAGACTGTTCGATACTGCTCCTCGGAACAAAGTTCACCCCAATGTGTACACTAATTTTAGCTGTGAAGGTAATGCAAAAAATTGCATTGTAGAACCAAAGAAAACCAGTTTTCCCAATGTATTTAAATATCCGTCGTCAGCTTTTAATAAAATCAGGAAGTGCTGGTCTGATGCGCTCGATATGATTTCTTTTCAGATAAGGGTCAACTTTGTTTCTCTCTCCACAAAGGCTGCCACATTTTCTTAAGCACCTTTTATATCAGACTTCCAGCATCCACAGTATTTAACTGCAATCATTGGAAAAGTATTTCTGATACGCATACAACATTTCAGCAGATATAACTTAAACTGCACAAAATTGTCCTGATTACATTCCTAAAGGCTGATTGATTTATAAAGTGCAGTACGTTAAAGTGTGGGCAAAATAAATTGTCAATGTATTCAAAAATTGCTATTAAATTTTCTGATGCCTGCCATGTTCCCACTTCCTAAATGAATAAATTATACCTTTCCTTAATCTTCTGAATCCAAAAAAAAATCAGGAGTGCACTTTTTCTCATTCATGAGAAAGAAAAAATTAATGGTGCAATTGCAATTTTTTTAAAAAATGCGTTAATTCAAAGAAGGTTTAGTTTACATTAGTGTTGTATTTACTATGTTGATGCTGTATACACTATGCAAATTAAAACCCACATGCAGAAACAAAGCTCAGTCTGATACTGAAATTAAACTCTCTAAAAGGCAAGCTTTCTAACTTTACTTGGCTCCTGAGTCACATTATGTTGGTTTCACTAGATAGCTGAAAGTAGCACACACTAACTGTTAAGCAAGTCATGTAATTGCAAAACATGACAGTAAGCAAGTACCTGATTGCGAAGCATACTATCTGCTTGCTTGCTGTCTCGGAGGAACTGCTGATACCCATGACACTGAGAGAGAAGATCTTTTCTGTTTTCCCACATCTGAAGAAGCTCATTCCAACCAGTGTCCACTCCTTCCAAACGCTGCTTTAATATTTGAAATTGCGGGTCTGTTTCTCCCTCGGTTATCATTTTCCCATTCTCCTTTATCTTGTGGTAATCTTCCAAATTGCGATCTATCTCATTTTTGATGGCATTATGTTGTCTGAGGAGAGTTTCAGCTTCGGGCAAAGAGTTGGGCACATCTTCAGAAGCGATAGCTTTTTGTGATTTGGATAGCCACAACTGGAAGTCATCTAAATCCTGTAGGAATTTTTGCAGTTTGCTGGCCTCACCAAGTGACTCCTCGCAACCTTGAAGAGTGTGTTTCAGTTCATCCCAAACATCATTGATTTCCTTAAGCCTTTTCAAGATATCTACAGCATGATGAGGATGCTGATCTGCCAATGCGTGGGCCTCCTTCTGCAACTCTGGAAGTCTTGACTCAATGGCAGCTAGATCCCTCTCAATTCCACACAACTTTCTTTGAATGGCCAGGACACCAGCCAAGTCTTTCTCCAAGCTCTGAGTTGATTCGATGAGTTTGGTTTTCTCACGGATCCAGACTTTGGTTTCGTCGCACTCAAGACAATAGTTCTGAAGGCTTAATGCAGAGTGAACATCATTCTTTTTCATCTCTGCCAACTTCTGAAACTGCAACCATCTGCAAACCACATCACGATTAGTATTATTTATGAATATTCACCTCGAACAGAAAACAAATCCAGCCATCAGTTTGAAAATGTCACAAGTATCCAAAAGGGGAAACTTTACTGCAAACAACCTCTGTCAAAATAAAGAATCAAAATATTTTAATAAACCTCTTGTGATTTTATTTTGATTTCTGTTTTCATTTTACTTTGGGAATTAGTTATTTATGAACATATCAACATAATCGTTTTTAATATACACTGAAGCATGTCCACCACCTACAAGGCACAAGTCAGAAGCAAGATGGATTACTCCCTACCTGCCTGGATGAGTGAAGATCCAACGATACTCAAGAAGCTCGACACCACCCAGGGTAAAGCAGTTGTTTGATGTGCACTGGCAATGTGTACTAGCTACTAGATGCACTGCAGAAATTTACAAAGTATCCTTACGCAGCACCTTTCAGACCCACAACGACTTTCATCTCAAAGGAAAAGGGCAGTAGATACATGGGAACCCCACCACCTGCAAGTTGCCCCTCCAACCCACTCACCATCCTGACTTGGAAATATATGGTGATTCCTTCAATGACCTTGGTGAAAATCCTGGAATTCTCTATCTAACAGCATCGTGGGTCACCAACAGCAGATGGACTGCAGTGGTTCAAGACAACAGCTCATCACCACCTTCTCCAGGGCAACTATGGATGGGCAATAAACGCTGGTCCAGCCAGCAATGCCCACATCCCATGAATTAATAAAATCAGTTATTCCTTATGAGAATATTGCATGAGGCAGCCCACTGGCTCAGAGTACTCAAATCTTCCTGCCGAGACAAAACTCCCTACAGAAATAAAGACAGCAACTTTGGGGAGGTTCAGGAGTGCAATATATTGGTATGAAATGTTGCTGTATCAACGATTGGATTCAACTCTTTGTTCATTATTAAATTCATCATCTTGATTAAGATGTGGGAGGCAAGGTATTGGGAAAAGACAATACCTCATAGAAAATTCAAACAAAATCTTTCTGTGGTGCAGTCAAATGCTCCTACAAGGTTTATTACGTCCATCAGTCTCATCCATACTTTTTTCTTTTCTTGCCTCACCTTCTAACAACTGCCTTGTACACAAACTACACACAAGAGATTAATTATGCAGCTGTAAGAAACATCATAAACATTGAGAGCATAGATTAGATTATTATTGTTACAACTGCACAATGCAGCAGTGTGTTAAACACAAGGATTTTATTCAAGTGAAGTCAAGATGTTTGCCTAAAGTATGCCCCCTTCACAGCAGAGGTCACATGATGACAGCAAAATCAGAAGGTTATTTGCATTTTAATCCATACATTTATTTTCACTTTACCTTGAGAGATGCTCGAGTAAGTTAAGGTACAATTACATTAAACTACTGCTATTTGCAGAGGCTAAGTTTCTGCAAAAATTTTGATAATGGTGAACACATTTTATCATCAGAATCAACTTAAGAGGTGCCAACCATCCAAAGCTTTGACATGCATAGTGAACAGAAGAAGGTAAATTAAATGAGATAGCAAGAACTGCAGATGCTGGAATCAAAGACAATACAGTGTGGAGCTGGAGGAACACAGCAGGCCAGGCAGCATCAGAGGAGCAGGAAAGTTGACGTTTTGGGTCAGGACCCCTTTTCAGAAATTTATTAAATTAAATAATTTTTAAAAAATAAATATAATGATGTTCTGCTGGAGAAATAGTGTGATTAAGTAAGAAATATATAACTCTTGACATGCTGATCCTTAATACAAGGTTCTGCACTGTAAAATTGTTACAATGATGTGAGCATACATGCAACATGGGCTGATAACACACATGCAGTGTTCACTTTCCAGTACGAAAGATAGTTTCACCTAATATTTTGTCCATATCTTAACCTATTTTAAGATTATTTTTCATTTTCAAGTTTTCTTTGTTTTGTTCCTTTGTGCAAAGAAGCAAATTGTGAAGAGTGAGGTGGGAACAGCAGCATTTTGTTCTACCAGGATAAGGTCATGGCAACTCTCTCCTCAACCAGTATAGAATCAGCTGTCTAACTCTGCAGTTGTCTATTCCAGGATTAAGTTAAATGGTTCTTTAATAATTGACAGATATTCTACTTAAAGCATTTTATTGTTAACAACAATTTGTTTTCTGCCAGAAGTAAGACTATTTTTCTGTTCTTTCCTCTAACTTTTGACATGTGATTTACTGCCTTGTCAAATTATGGATTGTATGTTTGGTTCATTGTTGCTTGCTGTGTGTGTGAGGGGGAGTCAGGGAGCATTCCTGGACCTTCTTATTATCTGGGATATCATATTTTGTCTGAAATTTGTTAAAAAGGCTATACAGAATGGGAATACTCTGAGCAGATCCCCTCGTATGGGGAGAAATGGATCAGTCCTTCAGATCCATTTAATAACTTTGGGACGGGTCTTTCCCAACATGACGTTGAGAGGGATCATCGAAGATTGGGATTGGCTAGGATTGCAACTCACTCCAAAAGGACTGCATGCATGCTAAATAGCAGAAGCTACAAGCCAAGCACTCCTACAGCCAAAGTATCAGACAAAAATCACAGCAGTCCTGTCACATCCAGTCTTTTCCAGCTCAGCAGAAAATACACACGCAGTTCCTGCTATCTCTGTTACATCACAACCACAATCAGGTTGCACTGCTAAATTCAGTTGGATTTGTATATCCCTGACCTTGCCACATTCTTCTTGTCCCAATTACTCTTCCTGCCTTCCTGTAAATATCAGACTCAATGTCTCTCTTTCAAAAGCTAATAATCCCATGCACATATTTTAAATAGTCTTCACACCGCCTTCAAGAATTTTTGGACTGACACCCCTGCTTCTGCACCTCTTTTAAAACTATACTGCACAAAATGCTTTGTGCAGATTAACCAATATTTTTAAAAAAGAGACTTTACAGAGATTTGAAACCAGAACTTTAATAATTTCGTCCAAGGATGATTGGGACAGAACTTAATGTTCTTGCAATTAGGAGAATGATTAGCGATAAAATTATATTATCTAAAGAGGACCCATTAAGCTAAATGGAATTTTCTCACTAGTTATGTAGTGCAACTCTCACACATATCCTAATTCAAAAACATCTTTGTTAGTGAACTGTAGTTGAGGTCACTTAATCATTCACACCCAACAGAACACAATACGATGCTCACACAATGAAATGAATTGAGACTCAATTTAAGAATGTCAAAAGAAAGAAATGGACATATCCAGGAAGGGAAACCAGTCTGCAACCAAGGGTTGAAGAGGAAAATATTTCCTGATTGGATCCTTTACCTAAAACTTAAAGGGATGAACTCATCCTCATCCATTGCCTCTCATCCTCTCCTGAACTTTGGACTGTTTCTCTGCAGGTTAATGAGACACTTGTGAATCGTGCCGCTACATGTGGTGAATGGAAATAAATTAAGAATATACCTGAGGTTCACACGATCCTGACATTCTTTCACCTCTTGCGTACTCGGGTGCCCACTCTCTACCAAGTGGTTCGCTGTTTGGTTTACTTCAGTGATCCGAGATCCCAAATTGTTCATTTCCTGTACCAGGGTTTCAAACCTATGCAGAACACAGGGAGATTGTACTGTACATTTAAAAGTCACAAGCTGTTTAATGTAACATATTATAATGCATATTCATTGCACTTTTTTCTGCCAAATGGCAATCATCACTCAATTATTTTGAAGTAGCTAATTGCATAATATACAGCTCATCATGCACCATTAGGTTCATCATGACTGTTTAAAAACCATTAAAATAAATGCAATTCAGCAAATTCAAAGTTGCAATGCAATTTTCATATTAAGACAATCAACAAATCGTTTTTAATGCGTCTTAATTCTGTGATTGGTTTACTGGCTTGGAAATGCTTTATTTCTCACTCTACAATTAGATTTGCACTTTGATGCAGTCAACAAAACGTTAACTTTGGCTAAACCTATGGATAGAGCTAAAAACCAAAGAACTGCAGATGCTGGAAATCAGAAATTGCTGGAAAACTCAGCAGATCTGGCAAAATTTCTGATTTTGCTACGGCTAGAACGGTTCGTCCCTTTCTTGTGCAATACATATCTTGGATATAATTTTTTCAAAAGATACAGCAAAGTTGGGGTGGGGGGGTGCTTTGATGAGGGCAATTTTAATACAAGAAATCCACCAACAATCTCAGACAACAAGGTGCAGGGCTGGATGAACACAGCAGGCCAAGCAGCATCATAGGAGCAGAAAGGCTGACGTTTCGGGCCGAGACCCTTCATCAGAAAAGGGGGAGGGGAAGGGGGTTTTGAAATAAATAGGGAGTGAGTGGGAGGCGGATAGAAGAGGGATAGAGGAGAGGATAGGTGGAGAGGAAACAAACAGGTCGAAGAGGCAGGGATGGAGCCAGTAAAGGTGAGTGTCGGTAGGGAGTTAGGAAGGGGATAGGTCAGTCCAGGGAGGACGGACAGGTCAAGGGGGCGGGATGAGGTTGGTCGGTAGGAGATGGAGGTGCGGCTTGAGGTGGGAGGAGGGGATAGGTGGGAGGAAGAACAGGTTAGGGAGGCAGGGACGAG